CTACCAGCACGGTTCTTTATCTACTTGCCTGCGGCAAGCCCCGTCACCGTGCCAGCCCAGGATTCCGGGTGGCCACCGATTGAAGGGCGCACAGGAAACCGTATCGTGTAACACCTCGTGCCCCGAGTAGCATGTAATACGCTCTTCCGCGACGTGTCAGGATGTCTCTCTTCGTCTTCGACGTCGTATTCTTCAATATTTTAGATCCCCTATTCCCCTCCCCCTCCCCTTGCTTCCTCTTCCTCTTCTTCCTCCTCCTTCTCTTCCTCCTCCTCCTCCTCCAGTAAGTTGTTGCCTCTTCCTCTTGGGGCCCTCTAGAACAGCTGTTCAGAGGCCCCGCGCGCACGTTGCACGGTACTGGGCCGGAAAGAGCAGTTCCTATTCCGACGTGTTTTTCGACGCCATTGTGGCTCAAGACGCGTCACAGACAGCTGAGCACTGAAGGGAAAAAAGAACCAGCCTTTTACTTTCCTTTTGCATACCAGCTGCCGCCGGGAGGGAGAGGGACACTACCACGTGCCACTGCACGTGGTAGCGGAGCAGCTTTGCTCCCTCCCGCTGCCGCAGGCGACAGCAGGCGACAACTCTGCGAGCACCTGGTCTCCGACGTCGACAGTTGCGAGCCCTCGCTGTGCGAGAACAGCGGTTTCGACTGACAGTTCAAGGTTACTTTGAGTTTGGGTATCGGCTGGTCGCGACAATGTTCGGCGGCAAGGGCGCAGCGAATTACGGCCAAGGGCCTCCCTGCAACATGGTGGACCACAGCGTTTGGTTATTGGACAGCACGGCTACCCGAATGAGATGGCGAATTCGAAGACACCGCCGAGCTGGACTCCGGAGTTCGAGTCGAATTACTCGTTGTGGGTCTACGCCTAGGACCCCATCCTTTGGAGCGCGGACACGGAAGTACCACAAGCGAGGCAAGGACCAGCAGCAGTTCTTCAGCTCGGAGGTATGGCGAGAGTCTTGGGCAGAGAGATGAATGTGGACGAATTGGCTAACGAAAAACATGAATGGGACTTGCCAGATTGGTCCAAGTGGCAGGCATCACGATTTTACTTCGTAGTCTTCTTCAACGTTTTGGTGAGCTAGACTGGGGAACTGAGTATTCGTTTGCTTTCACAGTTGTTGAGATTCATTCCAGTGCAGGGCGAGACGATCGACCAAATATTCTCGGGGTTTGACATCGCAGTCTATCGCGCGATGAACCTCTTGCAGAACTTTGCCTTGGGTCCCCAAGGCTTGGCATGGATACCACTTCGAGCACTGAAGGTTGCGCTGGCAATGTGGTCCCAACTTTTACTGCTCCTACTGGTCAGATACCGACGACGGAAGATCAACTAAATCTACTCATTCGGCGCATACGACAGCAGGCGCAAATCCTGGAGCATCATCTTCATGGCGCATTGCAGAATGCACTACACCCTGGACACCAAAGCCATTTGAGTTGCTTCGGTGATGTGGGACCTCTGGCGATGTCAGCAGTGGGCGATGGAGGCATGGCAGCTGCGCCAGCAGCCATGCCGCAGCAAACGCCGATATTTCAGACGGATGGAAATCAACAGTGTGGCGACGGTGTGTATGTTTATGAAGATTTCTCCGGTGATAGTGATACAGAGTCAGAAGATGAGTTTCAATATTGTCCCGAGTACACCGACGAGGCGACCGAGACATGCGCATCGAGCTTGCTACCCCCTGGAGTTTCCGCGAATCGCACAAATATCACGACTGATTCCTTCGGGGCGTACCTCAACCTCAAGAAGCGTTACAGGGCTTACGCGAAGGGGGCGGCAAAGTTTCGCACATTCAACAAATGGTACTATGGAGGGCGAGTTTAGCGCGGCAAGGGACAGCGCGGCGGTCACAAGAGGCAGTTTGGCAAGCCGAGACACCTCAAGATGGAGGCGGCAGATCCGACGCTTTTCAAAGTCGGAACAGGCAGTTCAAAAGGCTTTCAGCATATTAACGAGAACAGGTAGGACCCCGTCACCAGCGAGATAATGAAGCGCCGCGAGTGTGGAAGTGACATATCCGACAAAATTGTCCAAAGCTTCATTGTCGCACTCATCAGACAGCAGGTGCGGCGGCGACTCCTGCAGAACGCGATAATGCGTTGGCCCTTGAACATACTCATATGATGCATCACCACTTCTCTCATGCGGGGCGCGACCATGAAGATGCCGAACCGCGTGCGGGGCCAGTTGCTTGCACTCCGAATGTAGAATGGGCTCGGATGGTTCCAGAAGCCAGGGGCATTTCGGCGGACAATGGCACGCGCCAAGATCGACAGTAGCAGGACCTGAGGGCGAGGAACTATAGCCCACGTCAGCCCCCGGCGGCAATGGCAGCATAGCATCATCGCAGCTATATTGTGCAGCAGTTGCGTGCATTGGATCAGACATCCGGCGGTGGTGAACAGAAATCAGCACTTTTCTCTCCCTGGTGGGACCTTGGCCTGGAGACGGACAGCGGCGGCACTTGCTACGCGGCAACCTGAACCGTGGGCAGACCTTCTGAAGATTCAACTACCAGGCGAAGGATGAGAGGGTCTTCTTTTGGACGCCGGCGCGCATGACGACCTGGTCGGCAATCTTTGCATCGAGCGCATTCTTGGCATCCTGAGCGAGCGAGGCTCGTTGGACCAGGTGAAGTGGAAGAAGCTCTCTAAACCCATCGATGGTCCTGAAGTTGGTAAGCAGAGTCAGCTCGTCGAGTGGGAAATCGCAGTTCCGTTGCAGGCTATCGCGAACGATGCGAAGAGCAGTGCGACCTACGCGGCACCAGTTGTTGGCACTGAGGAAGAGTCCTTGGCTGTGCCGGCATTGTGGGGAATCAAGTAAGTCTGCGCGGTATCAGCGGCCAGTTGCCGATCGGGTCAACGACGAGATGCACCCTTGCGGACGTGGGCGCGCGCGTGAACGCGCCCCGCGGCACCTCCACCCTGAAGATCGACAGCAGCATGAGCGGGCGCCCGCTGGTGCCTGGCGCGGAGTTCGAGAAGCACGCGAAGACGAAGTCCTGGACAGCTCCGCAGTGCACGACGGAGAGCATGAGCGAGCGCGACCCCGATGCGAAGCACGGCTTCCAGACTACATCGTCACCGCTGAACTTCAGCGGCGCCCTTCAGCGGCTGAAGGACGGTGCTGCGGGCAGCGGCTCATGCCAGGGAGTCGGCGACTCGGCGGCGCGCCCCGCCGAGGCTTTCCAGCAGGGCGTTTATCCCACCGAGCGGGATGGCGGCTTGGAGCAAGCCGCTAACAAATCGACGCACGGCAACATCCCGACCTTCTCTCTACCTCGACCTCCTTCTTTGCACGACAGCACGCTACCCGCAGCTTGGGTCATGGATGAGATTGACGGCCAAAGGTGTCACGCGCGTAGTCAACGATTCATGGTCTAGCTTTACAGTCTCAGTTCGCGGCGTGCGACGGCGAACCGTGGTAATCACGTGCAAGCTATGTTTCATCAACACCGACCAGTCTTGTCGTGGGCATGTCCACCTGGGCCGCCTACGACAGGACAGTTTACGACAACGCACCGACGGCGACTTGAATTCATCAGCCAGATCAGCGAACAGCAGATTTCTCCACGACCGGCGGCACTTCCGGAGGCGAACGAGCGCGCGCAGGCAGCATTGACGCAGCGCCATCTCAGCGACTTCATTGGGGGGCAGCGCCATCGCGGCGGCTTGAAGACTACCGGCGCGGCTACAGGATGGCAGCCGCGCTTCGACCATCTGCCTGGAGGCCCACTCCGACTTGGGAGCTCCGGGCGTCGTCGACGCCGGCAGCAGCCGCGAGCCTCCTTGACCTATTGTTCAAGACAGAGCACAAGCCATCACGAGAGCAAGGCGTCACCTCACCTGCGGACGCATCGGCGCCAGCGCGCCCCCCTCCGGCGACGACGGGCAACGGCGGCGACAAGAAAGTTAACCGCGCCAAGCAATCAAGAACCCCCCCCCCTCTCCGGCAAAAGTGCAACGCGCCCGGCACCCCAGAAGCGTCGCCCTGGCACCTCGCGCCTTTCCGCGTGGGCGCAGACGAGTCTGCTCGCCGATGCTAGCAAACCACCTGAGGCACTCTCGCAATATGGTCTCCTTGCGGTTCTGAAACAAGCTCCTCGCCTGAGACATCCTCAGACATTGCTCTGGGCACAGACGAGTCTGCGTCAAGTCGTCGGT